CCTTCTGCTGTTCTCCTCCACGGACGTCTCCTCCGGACCCTGGACCTACACTGCCCTTCCAGTCTCCACCATTTCAGGTCGGTGCACAGTCTCCTTAACTCATCTGTACAACCCCTGCCTTCTTTCTCCATAGCCGCCACCGTCTCCCCGTTGACCAGCTCAGGAGTGACCCCAGCGTCCGCAGCCCAGCCTTCTCCCATCCATCTCACCACAAACTGGTTTCTCTGCTGCTGATCAACACCCGGTTACTTTCATCATTCTACACTTACTTGTTATCGTATGGACTTTTTCTCACTGCACTGTAAATAAATTTAGCACTGCTTGCACCAAAGTCAGCTACCTGGGTCTGCCTCTCTTTCCTCACTCTGCAGCTTTGAACACGTCCCAGTCTGTCCGAGCAAAACAGTCCTGCAGCGTGCTCTCAGTCTCCATGTTCCAAAGTTTAACTTGTTTGGTGACAGGGTTTGTTTGTTTCAGTCTTTGTCTGTAAGCTGGATATAGGAACAAAGAAATGTGGTCTGAGTGTCCAAAGTGGGGGCGGGGTGCAGCCCTGTATACACCACATATGTTACAGTAAACATGATCGATTGTGTTTTTGTGCCGGGTGGGAATGTTCACATGTTGGTAATATTTGGGGAATACAGTCCGTAGATTGCATCGATTAAAGTCGCCTTGACAATAAATACAGCATTGGGGTGAGCTGTCTCTAGTGTGCTGATGACATCATGGAGTTTGCCGAGAGCCACTGTGGAATTAGCTCTTGAAGCTATGTATATTCCAGGCAAAAACACACAGCTAAATTCTCTTGGTAGATAATAGGACGGCATTTCAGCAATAAAAACTCATTTACTCACATTTGGTGATCAGTGCTTATAGACAGTCTGTACATCTCCACACCACGAGTTGTTGATAAACACACACACCTCTCCCTTTGGCCTTACTGGTGGCTGCAATCCGGTCTCCTCGGTGTACACAGTGAGTCTGTAGCTGAATGGCAAATTCTGGGACTTTGTTTTAAAGCCAGGTCTCAGTGAAAATGAGAGTGCAGCACTCTTATTTCCCACTGTGTTGTAATCCTGGCTTTTAGCTCGTCCAATTTGTTTTCCGGAGACAGCACGTTAGCTAGCAAGAGGCTGGGTAGCAGTGGTCAGCTAGCACAAATTTTTAGCCTAACATGAAGGCCTCCCCTCTTGCTTGCGTCTCTGTCTTTGGATCGCTGTCCTGGGGTCAGCCTGCTCACTTGAGATCGGTGCTTCGGGGCCTTCCAAGGGAATGATGGTGGTTGCTGCGGGAGCGGACGATTAGTCGTAGCTCTGGTGGAATAAAACCGGTGAATTCCAGAGGGTTGTGATTAGCAATGTCCAGCAATGCCTGTCTGTTGTATGTTAGCAGTGCATGACAATTGTGCACTGCACAGAAAGCAAAAAACACACAAAAAAGGAAAAAAAAGCCAGCATTCAACAGTGAAATGAGCAAACACATCAGCCTTGACGGGCGCCATGTTGACAACAGCTGAATCACAGTGGGGTGGAGGTCAGTTGTGGGCAGTGGACTTGAGTTTTGACAGTAAAAGATATGCAATAGTTCTGAAGACCACGATTTTGCACACCAAATAAGGTATTAACTGCAAACTGCGGCATCTGGTTGGATGAGAGGATGAGGTCTACTGATGAGAATCCTTTAAAAGCTTTGGCAAAAAGAGGAATGAGAGTATTCTTTCACAGTTGCAGCTGGAGGCTCTGTCCAGTTGATTGTCTGACTTCCAGAAGACCGAGAGACCACAGAGAGGCAGTCCATGAAAGCACCCCTCTAGGGGTGGATGAAACCATCAATAGAGCTGCTACGGAGAGTGGGATGTCAGGATGGGACATTGAACTGTGTTAAAGCCTCATGATTCAGCAAAGAAACTGAATTTCTGCCTAAAAAATATTTACAATGAATTTTTGCTTAAAATGATTTACAATGAATTCTTGCCTAAACGATGATTTTACTCTGAAATGAAGATTTTCAACAGAAAGCCACAACCCACCCCACCTTGAGCCAGCTAAGAACAGGATCCAGTAAGGAATCCTATGACTTTTATTCAGATCAAGAAATTGCTCTTATGATCAGTATGATCATTTTAGATTGATGTTTAGAAGCATTAGTTGATTTATCTAGATTTTAAGCCAATCAAGACAATTATTGATGATTTTAATGCTACTGTATATCTTGTTGCTTGCTACCGTGCTGTAACTTTTTTAACCTTCTATATAAAATTCCTGAAAGAGTTTAATACTCTCTCTCTTTACTGAGTCAGTTTGGATGTTATTAACATTCTTATGATTTTAGTGGGTTTACATTTTTAAGTAATGTTTAAAGCTGCACATATAGGCACACAAACGTTATGAGTGTTTGATATTACACAACAATTCAGTGTTTACAACACTGAACTGCTAAAATAGAAAGAAAGTCACTTTTGGCTTTTCCCATTTAGGGGTCGCCACAGTGAATTGTCACACTGATGACTCACATGTTGACATTTGGCACGTGTTTTATGCCAGATGCCCTTCCTGATGCAATCCTGACTCGAACCCGGGCCGCAGCGGCAAGAGCGCTGCGCCTTAACCACTAGCCTACCACAGCATTGAATGAACTGCTAAAATGATTTTTATATTTTATATAAAATATCCAGCTGCTTACTTATTACATAATACAAATTTGAATTTCCTATCCTTAATAACATATTATGCCAACTAAATACTGTGCAAAGCAAATATGGTCTTAAGTGGCCAGTGTCATGCTTTATTTTGGTTATTTCAGACAAAATGTAACACTTACTCAAAGAGCCAGAGTATACTGGTTTATAAAAATTTCTCAGTACAGTAACATCTGAGGGTATAAGGAGGTAGCTGCCTAGCTGCAAGTTGATATTATTTGGGAGGTTTTGGGGTCTTATCCTGAATTAATAACATGGGAGAGGGAGGTCTGCAGGGAACTTTGTTCACAGGTTCATGGTAGTCAATTACTGAGTGAATATCTCCGTCATACAACCTCAAGCAGTGTTTGGAGCTTTAATATGTTTCACATATGCCACCTTAGTGTGAGGTTAAGCTTTATTCCTATGTCCAGGGGTTAGCATATCATGGCCTTCATACAATAGCTATTCATCTTACAGGGATTAGGATCTGCAATATTTTGAAAATGCATCATATATTTGATGACAGTTTGTTCCCTTAAGAAAAAAAATCTCTACTTCAGTCCATGCATCATGATTGTATTGTATGATTTAGAACCAATCATGCAGCTTTTACTTGAAGACAAGGGTTTGTGGGTTTACCAAAACAAATAAAACAAAAAGGCACAAATACTTCTGTACTGTAGTTGCAAGATGAATATTCAATATATCTTTTCCTTCAACACAGGATTCTAATGATTTTACACATAAAAGTCACTTTGCAGGTGTTAGGAAGCGCAGCTGCATACAGTAGCTGAAGTCAATTATATAAAGCATTCTGTAGCCACAGAAGGGGCTGTGTGACATCTGATTACCTTAAGTGATATCACTTGAATCAGCATTGGCTGGGACTAAAAACTACAAATCTAGAAAAAAAAGTAAAAAGAAAAATTGGAGTCTTGTACAATGTGAGTGCAACATTGCTACAGTGCAATGCTAAATCAAAGAAATTCCCTTGTAATGCTCCTTGTCCATGAACAGTTTCTCCTGTCCAAGTGTCAAATTGTCCATGGGCGTGACATTGGACCCTCCATTGTTCTTGATGGTCAGCCAGCATCTTTCATGGTGGCTGCAGTCTGTGAGTGTGTGTCTGAAAAACCAAATGAATAGGAAATTGTAAAGCTCGGGTTGAAATGAACAATACAGTCTATACTATTAGTATCATATTCATTTTTATATAAAGCAACATAGTGTAATGGCAAGCATTAACGAGTTTGATCGACCTAGCTAAGCATCACTCATTATTATGATAATAAAATGTAAGATGTAATAAAAGGATTCATTCTTTAGCACTGGGCCAATGTATTAACCTTTTCCTTTTATGCTGCAAAATCATCAGGCTCTGCCCATGTATTTCCTGTTTATTTTATCTGCACAGATAAGCAGAAACATGTACCAAGCATAGCATATGCATATACCAAGTTTAATTCCTTTTTCACAGTTTCATTATTCAGCTTGTATTGCGAAAATTCCATCTCACCTCTTATATGTAAATATTTGTAGGCAGACAAAAATATGCTACTAGATGGCTTCAACTGCTAGTTGTTTCCTCCATAAAGCTAAGCTGTTTTGCTTTTAGCCTACAAAAATCTCAAGATGTATTTACTGTATCCTCTGTACTGTATGTCTGTTCAGTGATTAATTAAAAATCTGGTTTAGTTTAAACTTTTAGAGCTGAGCAGTTGACAGTTAAGATTTCAACATCTCCATGTAATAAGACTGATTTGGTAAGTGGAGCTCTGTAGAGCCTTTTCAAGGCTGATCTAGTAGGGAATTACTCAGTAATATACACCATGTGTATGGCCACCACATATAAATTCAAGAACCAGATTGCAAATAAGTGTTTCTAATAGCTTCTGAAATATCAAAATGCTTAATCACGGGCGAAGGCATTTCTCTTTTTTCTGCCTTTTTTATTTTTTGTCTTTACCAAATGAGAACCAACCTGAAACATAATTAAGTCATGTATTGCTGATGACAATTTTATAGGTTCAGCCCTGGTGCTCAGGTGATTTTGGGATAACTTGGACCTCAAATGCCTCGCACATAGTTTGAGTCAACACTACCAACATTGATCAGACCCTTGTAGATAATAAACTCAGAAACCGGAGAAATTTCAAAATGCTGGCACATTCAGCCTGCAAACTAATTTGCAGGTTCTGCCCAGTTACATTTGTGGCAGTGGCTGAGGGACCTGAGGATTTAATTTGTTCCACAAGTGAATGTTTTCAGTAGAACCAAACATCTGTTCAGTGTTTTCTCATAGTGAACTCACCCACCAGACAAAATTACTCAGGAAAAACATGCCTATCAAATAGTTTTTCTTTTGAGTATTTGCCTTCAGACCTTCACTTCAAAAAGATCACTCAAAAATTACACTGGATATGGCTATAGTTTGAGTCAACACTACCAACATTGATCAGACCCTTGTGATAATAAACTCAGAAACAGGAGAAATTTCAAAATGCTGGCACAATCAGCCTGCAAATTAATTTGCAGGTTCTGCCCAGTTACATTTGTGGCAGTGGCTGAGGGAAATACAGAACCAAGACAACATAACGAATAAAATGGGTGAGTGGGTAAAGGAGGACACAGAAAGGGGAGGTGGTGATGAAGTTAGGAATGTAGACGGATGGAGATGCTGTGGAGCGGAGGTCAGGATAATGATTGTGGACAGGTCCAGAGGAGGAGACAGCCAGGCCGTGAGTTCCAGCACTAATAGGAGGATGGGATTCCCCCTTGAGGACTGGACACACACACCAGAGAGAGATGGAAGGAGTGACATCATTTCAGTGTGCATGCAGTGTGTATGCACGTGTTTGTTGTACTCTTCAGAGGATGGGGATATAAAATCAGACAGTTCTCACAACAATATAAAGATAAAAAGGCCTCTACAATGAGAACTTTTGGCTGGCTGTAAAAATTTACATTACACTGTGAGCTTTACAATAAGAGTAAGCTGAGTTGAGTTTAGTTCTGTTAGAGTTGGTGTCTCTCACCAGGGTGTGAGAGAGCAGGAGAAAGCGTGCGGGTTGCACATGCCAGAAGAGATGGGCTGAGCTGGAGAACTTAGGTGGAATGAGTGGAGATGGCTTAGTTAGTAGCCTTGAGCAGCCGCTGGCTGGTAGGTGAATGCAGCGGACATAGCAGAAATCATGCAGGGATGTGGCAGGTCCAAGGAGTTGCGGCAGGGCTGGATTGAAGCATAGTGTAAACAGAATCACGTGTGTGGTTGCATCGAACGAAAACCTCAACCTTAACTTCAATGATTTGGCGACGAAGGAGCATCTGCCAGCACTTTAAGTAGGGGCAGTTGATAATCAGGGATGAGCCTCAGCTGGGCGCTACACCCAGGGAGTGGATCATCAGGTGATGCGTCTCAGCTGTGTTGCCGAGCCTACCGGACGAGACAGCGGGAGAGAGAACGGGAATAAGAGGCAGGTAGCGCCGAGCAGACCTGACAAGTTCAGTCATGGAGAGGAAGCCTACAGACTTTGTATGTATGAGTTTAGTGGGTGAGCAGGACCAGGCGAGTGATGAGTGAATATGTCACACTTATCCAAGTTTGTTGTTCTGTTGGATTTTGTTGCACCCAGTATTTAGCGTTGATGTGTCCATAAAATGCAACCTCATCTCTGTTCTGCTGTGTGTCTCTCCCCATCTCAGACACACAGCAGAGAAGCAGAGCCCACAGCCTGATTTAATTGTCATCATCATTTATCTTAAAATTTCTTCACCACCTCCTAACAGCCTACTTCACCAGCTTAAGGTTAATGTTATGTTGCTGTGGACAACTTTTACAAGTACAAGAACAATACTTGATACTAGTAATCAGGATCAATGCATCCCTATAGTTCATATTTTTGAATCCAAATAAAATTTCTAACTATTGGATGGATCGCTGTGAAACTTGGTATAGACATACACGATTTGTAAAAACTTTGGTAATCCCTGACCTTTCATCTACTGTAGCTTTATGGCCAAATCCCTGCAAAACTAATGGCATACCTACTGGCCTCAGATGGACTTCGTGTTTAGTGCTAATTACCAAGTGTTATCATGCTAATTATCAGAATATTAACATTGTCATTGTGAGAATATTAGCATGATGATGTCAGCATTTTGTCTAATGCACTGGTGTACTGGAGTGGCTGTTTTTTCTCCGTTTCAAAAATCTAATATAGCCACGCATTTATCAGAAAGCAGTTTAATGAGTGGCCTAAAACAGTGTGCAGGATCAATTATTAAAAGTGCCCTTGTAGTTGTATGGATGCTGATTCAGCATCCATACTATGTTATCCTGGTCTTTATTATTCTTATTATTGTATGGATGCTGAGTCAGCATCCATGCTATGTTATCCTGGTCTTTATTATTGTATGGATGCTGACAAGCATCCATACTATGTTATCCTGTTCTTTATTAGTGTGGATGCTCGCATCCACACTCTTGTTATTTTCTTCTTTATTATTATTATTATTATTAGTGTGGATGCGCATCTGAAAGTTTCATAAACAAATGGTACATGACAGTGATTCCTTAGCAGAAAAAGACAGTTTTGGCATTAGTGACAAGTACAAATCAAAGTAATTAATCAAAAATACTGAACAGAGTCAACAGGTACAGTGGGGTATGATGGGTAATTGCACAAGACTGATAGCAACAACTCACAGTTCTTACATTATTACAAATGTTACAGGTGGAAATGTGGGGGCAACTCTACCAGAGAGTTTGATATGTTTGTCAGCATGCATCATTTTACATACAGTATGTGCATATCTCACCATGACCTGTTGAGACTCACTACAGTCCATGTCCCTGTACATGTGTAAAAATGCAATGAGTCACTGCAGTTACCGTACAACTAGCCAGTATTCCAAAACAAAACAGGAAAATAAGCTAAATATATAGTTGGCAAAATA